ACTCAATGACTAGGTCTGAAAGTGATAATTACTTCCCCACTGCAGAGACAAGCTGATTTACATGTTTATCAAAGGAAACTGGATGGCTCTGAGCATACTGTGGGGACATTTGCATATTTATAACCTCAAATGTACAAAAGCTAAAATTAAAATAGGGGTGTCTTGATCTTAGTTATAAGTTTGTTTTAATACAAAGGTTTTAGTCAGTGGATTTTGTAATCAGACCAGTGCATTAAAGTGAAGTAACTTTTCTTCATCACAGAAAATCAACATAGAGATTAAAATGATTGTTAGCTTGTGAATGATGGTATGCAGAAGCTGCAACATTAAGTTTTCATAAGGTTTTCAAATCTTAGCCTTTGAACCCTGAAGAGATTATTAACTGTGGCAAAACCTTAAACTGCTGTAGCAGAAAGGGACTCCCAAGAGGCTTACTATGTAGTAAACCTATGGGTATATAGTTGAAAGGCATCAATATATTTTCTGGGAGAAATGTGTGTTTCCAAATACTTATGCATGCAGCATTAATTTTTAGGATTTTATGCATTTATTCAAAGGCTTGCTACTCACAGAGGTGAATCCCTGGAGCTGACTACAAGTTCTGATTCTGGCTAATGGTGCTATTCAAAACCAAACATGAGCAGCAGTAGCAAATTCTAAACAGCAAATAAAAAGAATAAAACCCCAATACAATCAAACTGCCTCTTCTAGGCAGTGATGTGATGGCTTATTTTCCCAGGCTGATCTGTTGGAATCTTTGTTCAATAACTGTCTCAATCTTGCTGTAAGTTTCTGGATACAAGAGAGGCATGTGAAAGTTTACTGGAGTTGGAAAATAGTGTTACATGAATAGGAATTTCCTTTACTGTCAACTGTCTTTTCCTGAGACAGATCCTTAACCCTCCTTCTGGAACATGTTTTTTCTTTGAATCTGGCAGACTGCTTTAAAGCTTTCATCACAAGTAGAGGCTATTTTTTTCTAATGCCTAGATTACACAGAGCTTCTTATTCACAATTTCAGCAATACTCTAAATTATTTTGAATTAACACAAATAATATTTCTTTCCCATCGACTTGAAATGTCAGTAAACTAATTTTTGAATAAAATGCATTTGTTCATATGTTTGCTTGACTAAACACTTTTCCAAATCACTAACGTGTTTGTAAACACATTTTTGTTTTTCAGTGTTTGTACCTTGTTTACAAATGAATAGTCATTTTTTTATAAACCCTATCTCTTCTTGTAGATGCATACAGTAGGAGCTTTACATGAGTCAGAACTCAGTAATTACGATCATCATTAGCAAGGCTGGTTCAGCTACCATTCAGGCTGTGCTGGAGAACTTGAAAAGCGGCATGGTGCTGTGTTTCCTTCCAAAGAACACAGTCAATTGCTCTTCTCATTTTCACATGGCTATCACTCCACTGAAATTGGCATTTTCACATTCAGAGTGAAACAATTCTTTATAATTTTACACAGCTTGAAGCAAGAATGGAGAGCGGAATACAGAAAGCGCTCCTCAGTATATTTCACAAAAAGCTTCATTTAAATTTTGGAGCACTAATATACTACTTAAAACAAGTAATATCTTAACACAGTCCTCAATCTGTTTTGTATCTTAAAAATACATAAATGGAAGAAGTATGTCCAATGATCTAGCACTTTTGTCTGCTACAATGTTAGTCACCTACATTGCAGAATACATTCCCATAATGGCAGTGGTAGGAGTAGCTTGATCTGAAATTCTAGTTGTTAAATAGCTGCAGAAATTATGAAGCTCCATCAGCTGGATTGATTTGGATATTCAGAAATGTTGTCTTTCCAACTATGTGCTGTTCAAATCAGAAAGAAAACAAACTGGTACCATCTACATAGATCAGTACAGCAATTAATTTTTCAGAATGTGGGTTTCAAGCAAGGTATTTTAATTTAAACTCTTTCTTGTGTTAATAGGAGTCATATCATTCAAATGCACTTAAATGTGTCTTATCTCCTGGTAGCACACACTTTGCTGTTTATTTACCGTTTTCATTCTAGTAGGTGCCAGTGTTCAAGATCAAAATATAAATGGAAGGTTTGCTTTTGAGTGTGTTGTGACTGCCATACTCTGACAATACTGTTTTTTGAATTACCACTATTAGTCCATCTGTACTGAAAAAGGTTGCTGCTAAGATAAATTGTCATTTTAGCATTCATTAGTTAAACCTAATGTAGGCAATCCTCTTTGTTTCAAAATCCTTTTGAAGGAAATTGAAGTTATACCATTGAGTTTAACAATGGATGAGAATTTCTATGCATTTTATATGGCTGGGTTTTTTCTAAAATGGGACGTGTTTGAGTGTCAGAATTTAATATTTTCTTCAGAGCAAGCTGAGTTACTCAACCTCATTAAAAACATTCATTATAATGTCTTATATTTAATTTTAATATTAATTTTTAATTTTAAGGTTAATTATCTGTGATAGTGAGACAATTTTCATTGCTTCTCATATCTTCCCAAATTAGTTGGTAAATCAAAGTGGTCATTATTGAATGATTGCCAATGCCTTTGATCACTGGAGATAATTTAATTTTATATACTGAGTGCCATTCTCATTTTATTTTCATTTTGGTTTATATACAAGATTAATTTGAAAGCTCAATTTCATCATGAACATGATGTATGTAAAAAAAAAAATTGTTGTGCACATCACTGCACATATATTTCTTTGCACAATGCTATTTCTTGTCATTGTATCATAAAGCCATAGCTTGATGTACGTTGGAAGGGAACTCTGAAGGTCACGTGGCTGAATACTTACCTATAATTTACTAATTTATCTTTGTACTCTACGTTTTTATCATCGTTGACACATTTCCAAGAGATATTGTAATCACTTAGCACGTACATTCTCCAAACAGTTTCAGAAGCCAATGGGAAATTGCCTCATTCTTTTCTGGCACTAAGTCCGTCCACCTCATGCAGCAAGCGCATGGCTCGTCAGATGGATCTGCATGATTTTCCCTCAACCCACAAGCTTTAAAATGTCAGCCTTTGTAACAGATTTTCTCAGCTCTGTTGGGAAATTTCAACTCCCACGAGGCTTCAAAATTTACATAAACAAATTCTCCTACTCTTACATTTCTTTTTTGCTCCTACTTTACAAACAAGACCAACAGGTATCTACTTAAATTTAGCAGCTGATGTTCCTTTATTCTTGACCCAGTCATTTGAAAAATTAAGACAGTCAACCATTTTAAAAAGACAGATTTAAAATGATATAGCATTAAGAGGCAGCTAGAAATAGTAGCAATAAAGTAAGGTAATTACTTCTTATCCAGAAAAAGAGCATAGCAACAGAAACAGTGATCTGAAAACCATTTAGGAGGCTCTGTATTTCAAAGTTCTTATCTCATCCTCTTGTGACACAATAATTGGGCATCAGATGATGAATTAATTCTTAGTGGTCAGGTTAGCAAATCAAAATTAACATTCAAATTGGACCATTCTTGGATGCATAAGTAAAAGAATAAAGATAAAATGGTTGTGAAGACAGAATTATCTTTATAATATTCTGAGATCCCTAAAGGACAGGTTCATTGTCAGGCTGATGTGAAGAATTATATTCTTAAGTTTTGGTCGTTTTCCAGGACCAATAATTTTAGATTCCTAATCAGTATAAAATTCACTGGAGCAAGTTCCAAAAAGAAGCTTCACTCTCATTCATACAGAAACACACTCTAAAGAATTCAGTCTAAAATAGGTTTCAGTGTAATTTATATAACTGCAAGGCCCTCCACAGTGCCAAAGCAGTGTGAGGAGCCCTTTGTGAAAATGAAGCATGAGCGCATGGTGCCTAAGAGGTACAAGACTTCTTTTAAATATATGCACCTGGGTATGTTTATTACCTTTCACATTTTGAGTTTAGTTGGTGTCTTTCCATATGATGAGATATTAAGGGCTAATTATTAGATTTGATAGTGAAACCATGCATACTTTAAAAGTGCTACATGCATTCTCTTACCTTTTTTTTTTTTTTTTTTTTTTTGTCTTACTCTATTACTCGCACTGAGATTTTTGCCATGCTGCCTCTATAGGTTGCTAGGCAGCAAGGCTTTACCCCTTAACTGTGAGATCTACTCTGCATGCTGAGATTCTTTCCTCGGTGTTACTAAATCTCCTCAGTGACTTGAATCTTCTGGCTAAGGGATTTCCTTGATTGAGAGCAACTGCTTCCAAAAGTCACTTGCTCTCTGTGGATTAGCCCTTTTCTCTGATGTGCACAAATCCTCTCATGTTGCACTTCAAGAAACCCTGCAGCAGCTGCGTCATGGTCCCAATTGCTACTGTGTGGTTGTGCCCTACTGTGTGCTGCATGTGCCAATTGCTGAGTATAAGACAGTTTATGTGAAAAGTGGTCTCAAAAAGGCATAAGGACACAAATATTTATATGTGCCAAGGCTAATGAAAAAGTAATTTAAAGTCCCCAGCATCCAGAGGAGAGCAACAAGGCTGGTGAAGGACTTGGAACACAAGCCCTGTCAAGAACAGCTGAGGGAGCTGGGGATGTTTAGCCTGGAAAACAGGAGACATGGGGGTGACCTCATCACTCTCTACAACTCCCTGAAATGTGGTTGTAGTCAGGTGGGGGTTGGTCTCTTTTTCCAGGCAACAACTGAGAGAACAAGAGGACACAGTCTTAAGCTGCACCAGGGCGAGTTTAGGTTAGACACCAGAAAATATTTTTTCACCGAAAGAGTTATTGGCCACTGGAATTGTCTGGCCAGGGAGATGGTGAAGTCACCATCCTTGGACGTGTTTAAAAAACAGACTGGACATGGTACTCAGTGCCATGGTTTAGTTGACGAGGAAGTGTTAGGCTGGTCATAGGTTGGACTTGATGATCTCAAAGGTCTTTTCCAACCTAGTTCGTCTAGTTCGTTCTGTGATTCTTAAAGATGTCCTTAGTTTATTTTTCTTTTTTTTTTTTCTTTTTTTTTTTTTTTTTTTTTTACCTAGGGCAAGTTCTGGATGTGCTGGAGAAGTATAATCTGAATGACAAAACTCTTGTATACTTTACATCTGACCAAGGGGCTCATGTTGAAGAAATCTCCAGTGCTGGAGAAGTCCATGGAGGATACAGTGGCATATATAAAGGTAAATATTCTTTGATTGTTCTTGAAAAATGCAAGAAAAAACATCTCCTTTGGTTTGCACCAAAACTGTCATGTACTATGTGGCCAAAGTCAAATCTTTGATCTATTAAAAATAGAGTGTTTGTTTTTATTCTTTTTAATGAAATTCAATGTGTCTTCTTGTTTCTTTATGAGAGATTAATTTTTTTCATTCTTTCACTAGGTAGAGGCTGTGTAATTTGTTTTCTACTCCTATTTCAGGGGTCAAGATCAAAGAAATCCAGCAATCTTATAGTAGTTGAACCTGGAAGGCATCTCCCAAGGTCTGCAGTCCCAGCCCCTGCAGAGCAGGGTTAGCTATAGTACACTGCTCAGGATTGTATCCAGTCAAGTTATGAAAATCTCCAGTGATGGAAACTTTATAGCCTCCTTGGGCAACTTTCTCTAGTGTTTGATCACACTCGCCATAAAAAAAAAAAAAAAAAAACAAACAAGAAAAAAAAAAAACACACAAAAAAAAAAAAACAAACCCAAAAAAACCCAAAAAACCCAAAAAAAAAAAAAAAAAACACCACTTTTCCTTATGTTTAAATGGAGTTTTCTGTGGTTTAGTTTGTGCCTGTTGCCTCTTGTCCTGTCAGTGGCCCCCCACTAAAAGAGTCTAGCTCTGTCCCCTTTACTCAGATAAATCCATGTAATCCCTACCGATGGATAAGATCCTGGTAAGCATTTCTTCTCCGGGATGAGCATCTATCATGGCCTCTCCTCATATGCTGAATTCTCCAGTTGCTTAATCATCCATCATCTTTGTTTGAACTCCTTCCAGCATGCCCATGTACCTGGTACTGGGTAGCTCTGCACTGGGACCCAGTGCTCCAGGCAGGTCTCACCAGTGCTGAGCAGAGAACAGGACTGGCCAGAAGCGTTCTTCCTAATGCATCGCAGAGTGATGTTGTCCTTCGTTGCCAGAAGGGCACATTGCTGTCTCGTGTTCAGCTGGTTGCTCGTTAGAACCCTCCAGCCCCTCTCTGCAGAGCTGCTTTCCAGCCAGTTACTCCCCAGCCTTTGCTTTGCTAGAGGTTGCTGCTGTGAAGATTCAGGACTTGGTATTTCCTGTGCTGAACTTAATGGGGTCTCTTTTGGCCCATTTCTCCAAGCCTATCAAAGTCCCTTTGAAAGGTAACACAATTTTCCACTCTTGCCAGATTTATATCACCTGCCAAACTTCAAAAAGGAAAAAATTCAGGAATATAGAGTAAGCAATAACTATACAGACGTTTTCAAACAAGAGGACTCCACAGTTTTTAATCAGTAGGTATCTGTCTGAGAAATGACCCTTACATTTTAAGAGAGCTTCAAAGAAAATGCTACACAAGAAAAACAAGGAATGCCAAAGTGATGAGGTCTGTCTATCATATGGGTCCCCTTGGGCTAACACCGGAGTGAAATGTATCTTGAACATTAGCACACAGGCCTTGCATAGTGATTTGAGTAATTAAGGAACCATATGGTTACATATCTGTAGCCGCAGGCACAGCCTGAGGTGTTTTAGAAGCTCCAAAAAATATTTGCCTTCTAGAGTGCCAGACAAAAGGTACAGGATAAATTATAAGGAAGGAAAAAAAAAAATACACTTGGGAATATGTCTTCTTGAAGAACTTTGATTAAATGGAGTCTTTCTCTCAAGCCTTGCAAAATTTTGTATTCATACTTACAGTGCAGAGAAAACTTGAAATAGATCTTACCTGGATTAAGAAAAAAGTCTGATTGATAGGTTTAGTTGGATAGCAATGGGGCTTATTTTTTAAAAAAATGAAAAATTGTGTAGTTTGCTGTTAACACATCTGCTGTGCTGACAAGTGGGTTAGAAAATAATCACAATGTAAGAAACAAAATTATTATTTTATGAGAAACATTCTTAATAAAATAAAAAGAAATTAAAAGACCTATGCAATCAGTTTTAGCATTTTAAAATACAATTAATTCTGCTTTACATTCCACTCCCTCCATCTCAAAATAAATCCTTAATTTAACAGGTATATTATGCATCATTTTCAAAAGGACTGAGGTAAAAATTATCAATTAATTGCATTACTAGCAATTTTCATATGGAGGAATTTATTCATATTAAAACTCATGTGTGATGAAAAGTGTCTGTACATCTCTGTCAGAGTTAATGAGCAACAGACCTGTGAAGCCCCAAGACTAGCAATATGCCGAAAAAAGCAGAAGGACAATCTTTATGCTGCTTGTCCTTATGTGTCCACACACCAGGAATTTGCTTCCTTTGGTGTGTAGTTTAAAAATCTGTGAAACACACATATCCTTTCTCCCACCCTGTCTTAGCTAGTCAATCTCCACTACTTATCTTTTTGTCTCTGAGTGCTGTATGAATGCAAATATGAATCAAGGCACTTAACCCTCTGGTCGGAGCTGGAGCAATATGCTCAGCAATAATTGCTTCTGCCCTAAAATCAGAAGCTCTTAACCAATCTCCACAATTCTAGCTCCCTAATTTCTCTTGATACCTAGCCAAATAAGCACCAATAATAAAATTTAAGAGGGGTTTGGAGAGTTAAGCTAGTGCTGCAAAATGCAATGCAAAAAGGGGAAATTGCTGTTTGAAGGTTTTATTACTCTGGATCCTAACTACAGAACAGTCCACCATAAATTTGGATAGTTAGAAACCAGAGCTAACCAATTGCTGTCATACACAGTCTGGTTTATTTCTGCAGTATTCCTTTTCAGAAGACATATAGCAATACTGAAGTGATGGATCAAAATCTCTTTCCAGGGGCCTTTTTCTGATGGTTGACTATCAAGATCTGTGTAGTAAATAAAATCGCTAAGATCCTAATCCTAGACAGTATGACCTTGGTTTAAGATGTGAATCCTGACAATTTAGATTCTACAAAGATCCTTAACATTAATTATGTAAGGTTTTATCATATAAAGATGAATTTCCACTTTGAGTCTTTCTAAAATCTGAGCATAACCTCTATCACTTATCCATGGGAGCACAGTGTTTTCATTTACTATTATGAAAAGGGTCAGTTGCAAATTTTGTGGAACATCTTGAAGTTTAGTAACATGTTCTCACTGATATATCATAAGGGAGGGAAAATTTTAGATTTTCCATAGCTTAGTTTTGTTTTGTATACTTTTACTGTGGCTCTTGGCAGAGGCAAAATTCAGAAGATAATTCTCTTCCATCTCTCTTATGACTTTTAATTGAAGAGTTTTTACTCATCCCTGATTTCTTGTTATTTTCCTCTGTGAATTACTTCCCTTTCAAAACTGAAGTAAATATACTAAAATAGCAAGGGGCTTAACATGGTGTAGCATCAAGGTACCTTACTATTGCTTTTTGGGTATTTTTGCAAAGGGTCATAAGCTGTATGTTTTCTCTTTTTGTTTCCTCTTTTTGTTTTCTCTTTTTGTTTTCTAGTCAGATTTTGATTCATGACAATCCTTTGTCTCCTAACCCATGATTAATGTTCCAGTAACTTCCTGAAGGTCTTTGTCAAAGATCTTTCTAAGGTTTAAATCTAGATACAGATTCTGAAACAAAAAATAGAGGCTATTTCAGTAAGAATTTCTTCACGACTGAAGGCCTTCTTACCTAAACTCATGAAGTACTCCTGGGATTTGTACAAGACACTATTAATATTTCAATTAAATTTAAAATACTAACAATTTAATTAATACATTAATATAAACAATGTTATATTGAAAGTTATAGGTGTAACTGAAGTATTTTCTTAAAAAAATTCTATATAATTTTTCCAGTTTTTTCAGTTCTGTAATATTTGTCTGCTGAACATCAGACATTAGAACATTAAGGTATTGCTTGTATATATGATTTCCAGGATACCTGCACTGACTTCTTCTTAGGTGTTTTTCACTAGCTGCCTCACTGAGGCATGTCCATTTGATGTAGTCATCATAGCTTTCCTTTAGGAGCAGAAATAAGGTTAGTTTTTCCAAATACTTTGAATTTCTACTTTCAAGTAAGATGAGTAGAATAAATAAATGAATAGAATTTCCTCTATATTAGCAAGATGTGTAAGGTGACTGATTTAAGGGGAGCCATTATATTCTTCTTTGGTACCCTGAAGATTTTGAATGGAAATATTTTGTTGTAATTTCTATCTAGTTTCTTAGTGAGTAATTTCTTCAATTAGCCTCAGTGTGCTATCATTATATATATATATATATATATATATATATATATATATACATATACATAATTTGTATCAGCAAACAATGAAGGCAATAAAAACGTTCCTCTACACTTTTTTTTCACTATAGTATTTCACTGGTACATATGCAGATAGTACAAGTCCTCCCTCGCTATCATTGTTGACATCTGTCCCACTTTGTCACATACTGGATTTTCTGTTCATTCTCCTTACATCTTACTGTCTTTTGGATATGTACATTTTCCTGTACCTCAGACCTGCATTAGAAACAGTTTTTCTTTGTACTTATGAAGCACTTTTAGCACGATACAGACACTTGGCTACTGTCATGCTGCCAGAGTGGGTCATAAGTGTGTGCAGAGTGGGTCTGCTGATAATGGAAGTGGAGCCAAACACTGAGAAAGTCAAACTGTGTGAACAACATTCATTTTAAGTGCTTTGTGCCTTAGAAATAGGTATTATCATAGTTATTTGTTAATATCCATAAAAAATAATAACTAATATCTTATAAGGACTTAGGCCCTAATTTTTTTTTAACTCTACTACAGATCTGTGAGACCAAAACAAGAAATGAATAATTAATTTTTTTAATGTATTACTGTAAAAGAAGTTTATATACTGCAATGATAAGTTAGTTCAGCAGGGTTTTTTGAAGCTGTTAGTAAATCTTTTCCTTTCTGTAAGCCACAGAGAAATCAAGCTGACCATTACTTTGACCCCAGGAATCGTGCTATGGCAAATCTAGTGATATTTGTTGGAGTTTTGTTTTCACTTGAAAGAAAGCAGTAGTTGACTTTTTTTTTCAAATGTACTGTATTTTTATAGTCTCTCTGAAGTGATCCACATTTTTAAATAATCAACCCATCTTGTAACTTTGACTGAAATAAAAATTATCCTCAGAGATCATTTTGTTTGATTGGAGGAAATGTTAGATGAAAAACATCAAAATAAGCCATGTCTATTTAATTCAGCTGTACAAGAATAGCTCAGATTAACATAAATAAAATTAACAAAAACAGTACATGAAACAAGTTAAAAATCAGTAAGAGTAAAGTTGTCATTGAAAATAATTTTTTTTTCGACATTTTGTAAAGTAAGCAACAGTAACCAGTCTTGATTGTTGATATTTGTGGCATTAAGTCCAGTATAGATGGTAGAATAATTAATGTTGTGTGTCTCTATCATTCAAGAGAATAAATTGGGTTTGGAAGCTTTGTTTTTAAAAGAAGGAAAGTGTAGTATGGTTATAATCCAGGTGATTTAAGAAAGTTGTTTCAAATAGTTTTCATCATTCTTCACTCATAATGTTAATAGTGATTTACTGCAAAGTTCCCCTTTATATATTATCCTTTGTAAAAGCTGTACTGCCAGAGTTAGGTAATAGCAGTCAATTTAAACCAGAGGGGGGGAAAAAAACACAAAAAAGATATATTCTTTTAGCTAAGATTTGAAATGAGGTTAAAATGGAAATTTGACATCATGTTGTGGATGACCACAGAGAGTTATGTCTGTATTATGCCTGCTTCTGCAGATTTTTCAGGAAAGGTGAATGTAGGCTATTGTTCAATATAACACTGAAAGGCACAACTACTCAGAAAGCGTAGATGGCTAAGCAGGTACATACAGCCTCATGTGTTTTGTGCTGTTTTAAAAACATTTTTAAAAGACTTTAAGAGAACAAAAATAACAAAAAGGTACATTGGTCTAGATTTTGCAAGGCATACAGGCTAGTAGGTTTCAGTCTTTTCTCTGTTTCAGTGTTGAGCAAAACACAAAACTAATGAGCCATGTCCTTAAATATCAAGAGATTTTGTTTCAAAATAATGATATTTTCCGGATTATTTAAAATGTTATTTTATTAGCCATGTATATGTTTCCTACATATTTCAAGTATCAGTAGTAAAACCTTGATTTTTAATTTTTTTTTAAGGGAAAAAGAATGCAGATATCTTAAAGTTTAACAGCTAGAGTTTTAAAGATGATAAATGTCCAGGGATTTGTAATCTTGTAATGGCATTAAGCACCTGCAGTCACTAAGCACAATTCTAATAAAAATGAACACCATGTAAGCAGAGATAATAGAAGACAGTCTTCTGCAATGACCTGTAATTCCTGTCCTGATTCCCTGCTATTCCCAGTCTCCAGAGACATAAAAAAAAAAAAAAAAAATATGCTCCAATTAGCCTTTTGAAAGGAAAACAGCAGTCACTTCTTCATAGATGTAAGTAAGGAGAAAGCCCTGCTATGGAATCCGTTTTGCTTTTTCTACCTTACAGCAGGGCATCAGAGTTTGTGTAGTGTTCCTTTGTACTTGGGTAATGTGCAATTTTTCTGTCCTTTTCTGCTGATTCAAGAAAATTGTACTGTGAACCTAAGAGCTGTGAAAGTGACCCAATATCTAGGTTTTAAGAATTGCAACATGCGTGAGAATCAGATTTACCACTTTGAAATTTCTCTGTCTTCAGATTATACAGGAGTTAACAGTATGGCAAGACTTTATTTAAACATCCATCTAGTCTCTTACTTGGTTCAGACAGGCATACAGAAATAAAAGGTACATCATAGCTAAAGCTACCTAAGGTATAGATCCACTCATAGTGTTGTCTGTCTATTGGTCCCCTTCAGCCATAAAGCTGCTGTCATGTATGCATAAAATTAGGATCTGGCTCATGAACTAAATCACCTCCCTGGTGTATCTGTTCACTAAAAGTATGTTCCTTTGAGGATATTTGTAATTTTATGGCCTTATGCTTGTATTTTTATTTGGATTAACCAATTCCCACCCAGTAGTTTTATGTCTGTGCACCATAGCTCAGTCAGTTTATTAATATTTCCTGCTGTGTAACACCTAATGCCCACCAAACTTTGAAAAACTTAATGGCTGTTGTACAGGGGTAGAGTCATCTTTTCTACAGAAGATGGACACAGCTTATTAACACCTACACTGATTTCACCCAACAACATTAACAACTGATCAGCATACTTTTGGGTGAGCAATTTCTGCTGGTGACGGGTGTTCTACATCTCACCAAATAACACTTTATGAACTTAAATCTGCATTTTCTTCAGAGCTGTGTTTTGAAAATAATATTTTACTCAAATGTAAATGAAAATAGGACATACATCTCATTTTTGAATAGGTAGCCACACACTTCATAGTGAGAATGAAATTACATTTAACTCAGCAACAGTAAACTTTTAAGTATTCTAGAAGACAGACAATCCAGTAGAGTTCTGATCTTGACACCATTTTCAAAAAAACCTTAAGCAAATATTGTTGCTTGACATAAGGCTGAATAGTAAAAAGTCTAACTTTTCTGATGTCAGACTAGATGTGTCCCTGACTATTAAATATGAGTTCTGATAAAGCCCATGAAAAAAATTAAGCAAAAATCAGGTAAAACAAAGAATCATGAGCTAATGGTCCTTCAGTTACAAGAAAAGAAAAAGGTAAATTTATACAAAAAAGAGTTGTCTGTCTTGAAGTTACTACTTACCTTTACAAACAGTGAAAATCCTGTAGAAAACCAGGTCGATTCTAAACCCCCTTTGCTGAAATGGAAAAGATCATCAAGAAGTCATTAAAATAGACAGCATGTATAACAAGGCCTGGGGTCAATACCAAAGGTATTGACGTCTATGAGGTGTTTTGGGTGTTTAAGATGCTGAGGAAACAGAACTTTTGAAATACTGTATTGTAATAATTTTTTTTTTTTTTTAACTTGAAAAAGGGAGGTAATGGAAAAAAAAATAGTCCTGTAGTAGTTTTGCCTTGACCATGAATTGCTGTTTGGTTCATTTAATGGCAGAAGTCTAACCTATACATTTCTGCTTTTCCAGACATCTTAATTGTATAAAAGAATCTCAATTTATTTCCAAATGGCCCTGACCGTGTTTAACCATATCCAAAACCCATCTGTTTAACAGACATTTCTTTTTCAAGTGATATTAATTTCAAAGCTCACCCTGAAGTGTTCTGCATAGTCACAACTGTGCAGGACATTGGTAATAGCATTTGTGATGTCTCTTCATACAGAGCCATGTCAATTATTTATTCAGTAATGGTGAACATGCTGTCAGAGAATAAACCCATTTGCCTTCTGCAAAAGGTGTTGGGAGGACTCAGCAGTGATGGATCTTGCAGAAACAGTAAATGACTGCAAGTCACTGTTGAATGCAATCTGTTGATAGTGCGTTTGATGCAATTGTTTTGGTTTAGAACATAAAAAGTTCTTCACAGTATCCTGACAGTTATCATCACTGAAGTGAATTTCTTTCTAATGCAATGAATTGGAGAATTCAGTAACATACTTAAGTTAGTACTTTCTTCTATATAAAGCCATTAAGCACCATTTTTAATAAACATCTAAGTATAGCTCTTTTTTTTTTTAATTTCTCTTTTTTGGTTATAGGTTCACATATCTATGGGCCACACTATCTAGGCAAAGTCCTGTGTGAAGACTCCAGTGAAGTGCTTTTTTCATCTTCTACAACTACTTTTTTTTTGGTGTAATTTAATGCATTTTATAAGCTCTGTCTAATACATATTATTAAATTTACAGTGAAAAAGTACTACAGAAGTTAGAAAATTAAGAATAGGACAAATTTGCCTAATTGAAAGATTCTATCTAGACAGAATGTTTAATATTTGGAAACGGAGTCATATGGGGCGGCTTTATTAAAAAATAAATCGATTTCTCATCAAACAAAACTAAATTTTTCAGGTGGAAAATCAACGAACTGGGAAGGAGGTATTCGTGTGCCAGGTCTTCTCCGTTGGCCTGGAGTGGTACAGGCTGGTGCCTATATTGACGAGCCAACGAGTAACATGGATATATTTCCTACCATAGTTAAACTTGCAGATGCACAGTTACCCTCTGACAGGTATGCTCTGTAGTCATCTCTGTTTCAGAGAAAGTGTCATGAGTGTTTTATTTGTCCAGGTGATATCTATTAAGATAGAGGTGAGAATGTAAAAAAGAAACTAAGTTTTATACTTGGAATATTATGTTGTCTTTTTTCATATTGACAGACTGATAATATTTTACAGAAACGTTGTATGTAAACACAGCTTAACTCACAGAATAAGCACCAAGCAAAAGATAACAGAATACCATCAAATCAATGTACAGTCAAATCAAACTTGGAATTACTTACTAAAAGCAAAAAAGAATGTATCAAAGAAGGTTCTGTTCTGCATGAATGAATTTGGTGATAAAAGAAACTTTAAGTGTAAATTACTTTAAACTTAATGAGCTTAGCCTTGACCTGCTTAATATCACAAAACACATATAAATGCCAGCTAGACTTTTCTCACAGTTTTGTTTGGGGTTTTTTATTTTGTTTGGTCTTTTTTTTTTTTTCTCTGTAGCAAGTTAGTCAAAATAATCCCATACAGGGTTTTGCATCCTGATAAGAAAAGCCACTGGACTTCCACAATTCATAAGATGCTTTCCTAACACTGCTACGTCCCCAGACTTTATTTTGTTTGTGAGGTACACAGTCTCAGTGGCAAGGTGCCTCTGCCTAAATGCTGTTGCTATCCAAATCCAGTAACTGGAGAAACCTGTTGATATGTGTATGCTTTGAACGCATTGATAACTCACAGCTTTTGAGCACAAAGCATCAGGAATCCTCATGGGGAAGCCCACTGGTGAGCAGAGTAATTCTGCTAATGATTATTCATTGAGTGTTTGAAGGAAATGGCAGGGCAGGACAAGTCTAAGACATGAAAAATTAGTCAGGTTGGTCCTGAGAGATGCAGATTACAAGCAGTAATTCTGTCGAACATCAGAAGTTCTGATTGTTCTTTATGTGGCAGATCTTTTGCATTTTGTTTCATATTGCTTGAGTGAATACTAAGTACTGATGTTTTCTTTGATCCCCTTTATAGAAATTCAAATATAGTTGTGTAACTTCCACTTGTAGGTTGCTCCACTCTGATTCTTCTGTGTTACACTGTTGCCATAAGTACTACTTCATCTTAGGTCATAGAATAGCTTGAAGTATTTTTGTTCCAGCAGCTGGGTTCTTATAGCTCCAATGAATTCATCCTGAGAAGTAAGAGAAGGTAATATAATTAATATTCTGTCACTGTGAGAAAGCAGGTTGAAAAGGAATGGAAGAGGTGCTCCTAGTTAAAGAAGAGAAATTAGTAATTGGAAAGAAAAGTCTCATATATTCCTCTGAATCCAGCAGCTGTAGCAATGGTGGAATATTGGAGACATTTTTTCTGGAGATGCCTTTTTCCCCATCAACAGGATCTAGAACAGAAAGTGTTCAATAGACATGCATCTTTTAATGAGCAAACTTGCAAGACAAGAGCCTGTTACTCAGGCAAGAGAACATGAAAAACTGAAAGTGAGAAAGACTGTGTTTTAACAGACCCCCACAGACAGGGATTCACCCAGGTGGCAGTTATTAGACAAGATAGCTTTCAAAATTCCAGGAAGTTTTCCTGCCAATCGTTTGAGAAACGTGCTACTCTGAATGGCTTTGTTGCATACAGACAGTTGCTGACAAGAATTCAATCATCACATGCGACTTAAAAAAGTGAACTTAGTACCTGTCTTGTTACACTAACGTGAAAAATGTGTGGGATCTCAGCACATCACTGTGGATGTGCAGAGACACCAGGGGAGCCCCTGGGGGGCTCGGAAACCCTGGAATGATACCAAAAGGGTTTGGTGGTTGGATTTCGATCCATCAAAAGGAGAAGAACCTGTGACGGAGGAAATGAGAACTTCTTGGGTGTGAATGATACCTTTATGGAGGGAAATATAAATTTTAGAAAAATAGGTACAGGGGGGTCATGAAGGCAAGATGGAGGATTCAGGGCGTGGTCCTGTGTTCTTCTTTCTTCTTCATGTCTTCCATTTTGTGTGGTGATGTTGGCACTTGGAGATTGGTTCGTAGTGAAAGTGCACTTGTCTATAAGGATGAATAGTATTGGGAAATAAAGGTAAATATGTCACACGTAATTTTTACTATAAAAGACACAACCGCCCTGTGGGCGGGGGAGAGTGCACTCGACTGTCCTGCTGAGCGGACCTCGGCTGGGCAAAGAGAAAACTTTGTAGATAAGAGATAATAAACAGAACTGAAGACCGAAAATCTAAGAGTCCAGACTCATCCTTCTCAATCACGGCCGCCCAGAACCACCTTTCCCCGTGTCGGGGCAGAGACACATAATAGCGGACCCCGACAAAATGTTTTCTGTAATGGTAATGAAATGATCATGTATGGAAAGATAATGAAAATCAGCATAGACATTTTAAAACTTTTTATAAGTTTCAAAAAAATTCTATGGGATGTTGCTCAAAATCCTTGAGAAAGAATTACTTGCTGATCTTTATATCAGCAAAAAGTAATTTCTTATAGTACTTATTGAAGAATTTGTAATTCATATGAGGTCAAAAATGCAGACTATGATTTCTCCCCTGCCAGCTGATGTCAGCAATTCAGAGGTTTAATATAGGGAAACAGCTAAAAGTCTTGCTTATTTTATAACTCGGATTTTATGTAAATTGACTGACTCCTTCAAAGCATGATCAAATTATCCACCAGCATTTAGAGAATTTATATATATTTATGTGCACATGTGTGTGTGTGTGTGTGTAGCTGATAAATGCATATTTAAACAGTTAATTTTCAAATTTGAAATTACCACTTCTGTCTTAAATTCTGGAATACATAATATACTGAACTGAGATATTACCACTACTTCTGGGGGTGATAGCACAGAACAACCTATTTTCTGTAGTTTTAGGGTTACTTCGGCCAGACTAGTCCCAAAAACTTGAATGTGAAGGACTGTGTTGTAGCAATTTATTCAGTTATGTCTGTTCACTTTCCTAGAAGTGAAAAAAATGAGTTGAGGGAACTATTCATCATGGTAAAATGTAAAATTTTTTCCTTAAGTAATGTAAAACTCAAAGGGAAGAACACCTGAAGGTTTTTCTCCAAATTGACTAGTTGGAGGTGGCCATTCAGATTTGGGTTTTTTCAAGCAGCAGATGAGCAGAATTATCATATCTTCTAGGAAAGTGAAGTTTGAGTTATTTTTCTGATTTTGAAATGCTTTCTTTCTCAGGATTATTGATGGACATGATCTGCTACCTTTACTTCAAGGAAAAGTTACTCAGTCTAAGCATGAATTTCTCTTCCATTACTGCAATGCATATTTAAATGCAGTGCGCTGGCATCCAGGAAACAGTAAGTAAACTTGCCTCTTCACATTTTAAATATTTAATATAATTTTTATTGCAGCTTGAAAAGAACCAGGAGGAAGCCTTGGGCTATAGTAACAAAAAAGCTGTTTAAAATATCTAGCCTTTTTCCTTCTCTTTCACTTTTGTCTTTGCTGTTACATTCCTATTCACCATTTTGCTGTTTGACATTATTTTGTTGTTATGTATTAATGTTAAATATGAATGCAATACTGAGATCTATGGTATCTGAAAATGTCCTTTTTTTAAACCTTCATGAGAGGGAGTCTGTGCAACAGAATGAAGTATTCAAGGTTGACTCTTACATTGTCCTAAAAATGCATAGGTAATATGATGGTTTGCCGAATAACAGCAAAAGTATGATGTCAGCCTGGCCATTTTTGTTAGTCAGATAGCAAAACGTAGAAGAGTCCCTGAGTCAAAGTCACAATTATCCAATAAATGAATATAGTATTATAGAGTCCCTTTTCATGCTTTTTATGAATGACATAATTCTACTTTGTAGGACAAGGAAAAAAGCATTTCTCACTGATTTGCTCTTTTTTAACTAACAGCTCACTGTTTCTAGTAGCACCTTCCACATTAACCAAGGCATATTTCCCTTTCTACAAAAATCTCAGTGCTGAATGAAGTTAAACACACATTTTGTCCCATCTCAGTTGACATTGAAAGTGATGAATGGTGTTACAGCTTCAAAATCCGAAACAAGCTTTGGCTTAGAATTTTTTTTTTTCATTTATTTAAGTGTTGTGGGAAAGGGCTTGTTTAATAGTTAATATGCAAACTTAAAGTATTTGGAAACTCCGTCTTCTTGGTCACATGTAGGCTGACTCTCTACCTGTCTTGGACTTTAAACTAGGAAAAGGGAAAATATTAAATATAATATTTATTTACCATTACTGTGCCTGTATGTCTTGCATTTGATAAATAATCATAAGGAAGAACCAAGCAATCAGATCTAGAACCAGTTTGTATCTGCTGTTGGATGGAAGTTATTCTGCATCATGAGAGAAGTGGGCAGAGAAGCTGTTTTTCTCAAACATACACCTTTGCAAGATGCTATAACCCTTGTCCGAGGAAAGGGTCATCTTTATTATTCACTGAATGTGACAGGAAATGAATGTGAGAAACAGTGGGGGGCTGGTCTATGGTATTTACTTGATGAGCAACAGCAATGTAGAGTGTGATTCATCCTTTCTCCAAGGCATTCAAATGATAAAGCCCACTCAGAACCTGGTGATAACATTTTCATAACCATGGGCTGGCTTTTGTACAGAAGGTTGTTGTGGTTTAATTCCAGACAGCAACTAAGACTGACAGAGCCGATCTGTGTCTCTTTCTGTGATGGGGAAGAGAACTGGAAAGGTAGAAGTGAGAAGATTCATGAGCTGAGATAAAGACATTTTAATAGATAAATCAAAAGCCACACGTGTCAGCTAAACAAAACAAGGAATTAATTCATTATTTCCCATTACCAGGGAGGTGTGCAGCCATCTCCAGGAAAGCTGGGCTCCATCACACATAGTTGTGACTTGGGAAAACAAATGTCATCACTGAATATCCTCCCTTCCTTCTTATTTCTGCAGCTTTCTGTGCTGAACATGATGTCATTTGGTCTTGAATATGCCTTGGGTCAGTTAGGGTCAGCTGTCCCAGCAGTGCTCCCATAAAGTGCTTCTTGTGTAACCCCAGCCTAGTCACTGGTAGGGTGGGGGGAGAGGCAGAAGAGCTTGTCTGCTCAGTAATAAAGAAAACATCCCTGTTATAAACACTGTTTTCAGCACAAATATGGAACACAGCCCCATATTAGCTATTGTGAAGAAAATTGGCTCTATTCCAGACAAAACAAGCACAATGGGCTTTTGATAGTCTGCCTTGTCAGCTTACATTGTAGTGAGAGTAGACAATGGCCAGGTATTCCTCGCTATTGTCTTATGTACCAATCCTCTGTGAGGGCTTCACACCATGTTCAGCATCTTCTGCACTTCTCTGGTAATGGGCCCTAACCCAAATGTCCAACTAGACTGCTCATTCCTTCATTAAACATGTAATTTCTATTCATTTCAAAGATGCACTTTTTGAAGAACAAAGCAACAACAGCTTAGAAGAGAAAGTTTGCAACAGTTAACGAAAATGTGATGTATGTATTTATCGATTAAGGTACAAGGTAATGGGACATATACTGTGTATATGCACTTATTAATGCATCTGTCAGGAGATTTCTTACTATATTTATTTTCTGGGAAGTCTCAGTTTGCATATCAGTGACAGCTTGCCTATTCCACTATTTTTTCTAGATGCTCCAAGTGTAGTATTAGCTTTGATCGTCAGGAAAACCTCAGCTAAATTCTGCTTAACTACTTGGTCCCTTTTTAATTCCATCACCCTTAGTAACTCCATCTTTGTCACTATTAGATTTTCACTGTGCTTCAGTCCAGACCTCCTTTTTTTTTGGTTTAATTTTTGACTCTTACATATATATATGGAACAGGCAAATGTATATGTTAAATTTTTGGTAGTTGTGCATCCAAACTTGCTTGCAAGATTCTAGTCTGACTTAAGTAGGCATGTTTCTCACATCATTCAGGGAAGGTCAGAAACTTCAGAATGAACAATTACCATTTTGCATTTATACATTCAGAGGGTAAGAGTTCCTCATAACCAAATCAATACACATCTTCATTAAGTTATATTAGTTAGGTCAGTTATTGCATTCACAATGTACTTTCCCCTTGATCAGTCCTTTGAAGGAGCTTTTAGAGGATATGTGCTATGCAATGATCTTCTCAAAAAAGTCTGCAGAATTTAAACCTTATGCTTTCTAGAGAGTCATGAGGAAAATAATCTCTTGGGGTTTTCTCTCTTTTCTTTGTCTTTCTCAGCCACAGAAATAAGCTAACACCATTTTTTCTTCATGTCACTTTGACTCACATTTTACTTCATGATAGAAAATAATGCACATGAATATTCACATTCTGAATTTTTAAAAATGAATAAAATATCAGGCAATTTTCTTTTGCTCTCACAGACTTGTGCATGCCGATACTTCACAAAATCACAGAGTTACAAAATAAGCTGAGTTGGAAGGGACCCACATCCTTCCACTCAATGGAAGGGTCATTGAGTCCAACTTGCTGTAATTGCCATGGAAGCAGCCAAGATATACAGTCCAAGTCCTTGGAGGATGATTTCCTGTTATTTTGAAAGCTTATAAATATTTGTAATTTAATGTATCTGTTAAAAATACAGAGAGGAAGACATGTAAGAAAGTAAAGTGATTTCCCATTATCAATACTTTTTCTGCACAGCTGCTTGGTATACCATACAGGTACCAATATATGAAAGCAATACCTTTAGAAAAAAGGACTACATTTTCTTTCTTCCCAGTATGGTGTAATCACCTTGTTTTTTAAAAGCACTGAGTATTTTTTTTTAAATCATTAAGAATTTTTATCAGAAAATAAAACAGATGTAGGATCTGCCTTTACTTTCTTGAGCTGAGCCACCCAAAATTTTGCTTTCTGTGATGTATGCCAGATAATATTTTGGCCTGTTTTAAGTCTGATCACATGTTCTTCTGCTTGAGCAAGTTGATCAGCACTTTTATATTTGCTAACTTTATAATTTAGCATAACTGAATACTAAAAAACTATCAAGAGCACTGTCTCCAGAATATTACTGGCATATGAATCAGTACTACTAAAAATGCATTGCTATGACAACTTAATTATAAGGGGAGGATTAATCAGATACACAGCAAATCTATCGTTGAATGAAACTTCATCTTTCAGGTTGCACTGCTTGTGTGCAAAATTTCGATTTGATAAGGAGAAAATATATTATAATGCTGTGTAATAAATATTGAGAAATATAATGCAATGCAGTCTGCATTATAAAGAAATAATGACCTTCACAGTATTTTCATACTACTGATAAAAATATACTAATGTTTCTGATAAATGCTAGAGTGACTTTACTAGCAGCACTTCACTTTTTCTATTTCAAAATGGATTTAGCTGTTCAGTGGAATAAGTCATTCAGTAAACAGAAGACAAGGAGATTTTCTATGGGAAGTTCAATTGAAGCAGACTACACTGCAATGCCAAACTAGCTTTTTGTGCAAATATAATGACTTTTACATATAGTAGAAATTGACTGAAAAGCTTTATATAGAAATTTCCCACTTTGCTTCAATTAACAAAAAATATACATTTCAATTAGTGTTTATATTGACTTTCTTGAATGTTGTGAACTACCTCAATTACTGAAATTATTTCAGTCAAATTCACCAATGAGGGTTTCTCTCTGTACTATCACAGAACTCAAAGCTATTCTGATTCCTGGCAGTTGCAATATTCTCCAGCATCCAACAGTATTTCAGGAGACATATTTTGTTCTATGGCTAGGGGTTATAGGCCCTTCCTAGTCATGAATTTAGCCTTTTTCTACATTTTCAGTTGTAAAAATTGAAGGTGAAAAAACAAATAAAAAGTAAATGAGAGAGAAATATTTTGGTTTGCAGTGTTCAGACAAAATATATAGGATAAATTTACCAGAATATTGTTTTGAGTTTTTTAAGAGTTTCCTCCAGATTTAGTTTGACTAAAGACATTGGAGTCATAATAAAGAGAGGAGAAAGCATGAAAAGTCTGCTCAGAAGGGTCATTTTGTAACAATTGGCACAACCTTTCTTGTGAAATTAAGTTAAAATAGGCCTGTTTCTAAAGAAATTAGATATGAGGAATACCTTCCACTTTTCCTTACCTCTCAAAAGCCCAATGTTATTCATGCCTTAAAGGGTAGTAAGGGTTACCTTATAAACTAAGGGCACTTGCATTATTTATGGTGCCATTCTGAGCTTAATTTTTTGTAATATCACATTCAGTGTTAATAGTTAAAAACTGTAAAATGAATTCATATGCTTAAAACATTGGCTTGTGAGCACAATATTGTAATCAGAGGAAAAACCACAGGATTTGGAGTTTA